AGGATTCCTGGGCCGTTCTTCTCAAGTTGCCCTTCACCTTCACAAACTCGGGGGCGTTTTCTTGTTCCTCCTGGATCTTCTGCTTGTCAAGTTCGAGCTAGAAAGAAAAGAGATTTTTTTGGTTTTTTAAAAAAGATAAGGAAGGGATGGTGTTCTGATCCTGAACTAAGATGCTTTGCAATTCAAGATCAGACAGATGACTCAATAAATATGATTGTAAAACAGATATTTATTCAGGTATACTTGCAGGTATTAGTAGTTTCTTCTGGATATTGCATATCTGTTCATCCTTATAGGTAAGAAATCAATAAGTCCTCCATATCAACTTCTAACGTGGAATGGGACCCTGTGTGTCCTGCGGTGGTCCCATGCTTATCTCAGACAAAGGCATTCCAAACTGGCACGTAGCCAGGATATCCTGTGATGAACTTAGTAGCTCCTCCTACTGACCTGTTAACATGGGATAGCTGACTAGCTAAACTACATTACCCATAAGCCATCTCTTAAGGAGACAGCGCTTAACCCTATAAATGCCAAACATTCTAACATACAGATCTATATGCTCTAGTCAGGGTTACATTGATACAGCACAGATGGGAAATACTCTCAACGAACACCCTCGTGCTTCTCGGAAGTTAAAAATAAAAGCCCTGGAAAGCACTGCTTAGAGCGCAGCATATGAAATGGAGGAGTTATTTACTTCTCCAATCTAACCCAGTTTCTCAAGGAGAAAAAACTATTTTTGGATTCGCCTCTGCAGGAGAGTGGCTGACCATGTTACCTGCTGTGACCCTCATCCTAACAAAGCTTAAACCTACTGGAACTAACCCAACCTGCCTTCTATTATGTCTTCCCTTTGGGTTCTGAAAGAATTTCGAACTATTTTGAGGTCCCTAATTCAGGAGGTCCCTTCCGGAATCAAGATCAATACAAGCAGTCCTCGACTTATTACAAGTTCGTTTAGTGACAGTTCAAAATTAGAACAGCACTGAAAAAAGTGGCCGTTTTTCACACTTACGGCCATTGCAGCATCCCCCCCCCATGGTCACGTGATCAAAATTCAAACGCTTGGAAACTGACTCCTATTTATGACGGTCACAGCGTCCTGGGATCATATGATCCCCTTCTGACAAGCAATCCATGGGGAAGCCAGATTCTCTCAACAACTGTGTTACTAACTTAACAAGTGCAGTGATCCACTTAATACCTGTGGCAAGAAAGGTCATAAAATGGGGCAAAACTCACTTAACCAATGTCTTGCTTAGCAACGTGGGGCTGGAAGTCGAGGGCTACCTATAGATAAATATCTTCTTTTTTCCCCTCTTACTTGTTCCAATTTCTGTTGTCGCTTGAGAAGCTCTATTTCCAAGTCTGACTTCTTCTTCTGGGCCTCCTCTTCTTTCTGCTTGAAAACCTGGTCTCTTTTTCGTCTCTCCATGACTTTTTGAAGCTCTGGCTTGTTCTGAGGAGCGAGACCCCTTGCAAGAGAAGGCAAAGACAAGAAGGTGAGCTAATATGTAGGTCACACGTTTGTCCCGATATTGCCAGAGAACAGAATTCATCCACGGAGAAGTTAGTTGTATAAATGCAATTGCTTCTATGTATAATAATAATAATAATAATAATAATAATAATAATAATAATAATAATAATAATAATAATAATAATAATAATAATAATAATAATAATAATAATAATAATAATAATAATAATAATAATAATAATAATAAT